AGCATGAGACAGCACTCTTGACATTTGATACCATTGCTTTCCTTTCAGACACTCAAAAGCACCAACCATAATGACTATTTAGTGTAAAGTCTGACTGCCCCGGTAACATTAATTGATATAATCTCCAAAATGTAAAAGGGCCTACCCTTAAAACGCCTTGTGTTCTTCACCCTTACATTTTCTCTACATGATATATTTACTGATAATTGACCGATCGGAAAGAGGGGAGACTTTATGATGACAGGCTCTCGAACTAAACAACTAGTTCTCCACACTCCTGTCATGTCTTTTTTTTTGTTTTTTTGCAATAAAAGCTATGTGTAAATATGTCGCCTCTTGGGTGTTTTTGTTTTGATGTTGTTGACAGAGCTGCGAGAAGACAACAAAATAAAAGATGCACTCAGTTGAACTCGGACACCACTGTCCAGACTTCTAATGGCTTAGCAAAAACAAAAAAACCAGCCCTGCAAAGGACGCTTATTAATGTTTAATACCCCTCACATCCGAAATGAATATACGTGTCGTTCGCAGCATCCTCCATGCAGTTTTCCAGCGCTATCACATCCTGATAGGATGCATCGGGTCATGTGACGGGAAGCGCAGCATTTTCAGCTGAAAACGAGCTAGGATAGTCGGGAATCGCATATCCAGGTAAACAATCCAAAAATACATGAAATATTAAAAGAAAATCCCCATCCCAGTCATCCTCTTCTGAGCCATCGTCGACCCTACGACCACCGGGTTGTTCTCGCTGTCAGACCAAACCTCAGCAAAGCGGTCCAGTTGCCTTTCTTTAATGGCGAACGCTAGCTCGTTAGCTCAATGACCCCTCTCTCTCTCGGTTGGCTGCAGCTCGCCAACCTCAAGTCGGGAAGGAATATATCGTTAGCTCACAACAACCGAGGTCGCTCCCCCCTTCCTTCCCCCCCTCCCCGGTTGATCTGTTTCTCAAAGGGTCACTGCTGCAGAAGCTTAGCGTGCATTAAAAGCACTACGGGAGCAGCGTTTGTCCATTCATAGCAGATTGAAGCCGACGCTGTTGCCCAGAGGAGGGTTTGGTTGCAGCAACGCCGTCGCTAGCGAGCTAGCTGGCTAATGTGAGTGCTAGTGCAGGATCCTTGTTGCTCTTCTAGCTTCCCTGGTAGCATGCTAACCTGCTGCAGCTTGTGAGTTTGTGTCAGAGAAAGGTGCATGCAAGATATTCGGTTCCGCGGGATTTACCTTAAAAATGTTCGTTTTATTATCGATATTTAATCATTTAATATTTAGCATGTTGAATGTTTTATTTTTTTTTTTTTTTTGCAGGTAGTGTGTTAGCAAAGCAGAGCTCTGGTTGATGAACAACAACACTGTGTGTTTTTGTTGCCTTCTGCAGTTATGTCAATGAATTTGTGTTTCCACAGGAGTTAATCCCGGTATGGGGGACATGAAGACCCCAGATTTTGATGACCTGTTGGCAGCATTTGACATTCCTGACATAGATGCCAAAGAGGCCATCCAGTCTGCCCCAGATGAGGCAGAGGGACCCCATGGAGCTGCGGGCGCTCCTCTGGGGAAGTCGGACAGCGTGGTGGGAGTTGGGTCATCCTTGAGACCACCGAGTCCCTCAGACCCCCAGGCCGACACCTCAATTGTTAGTGTGATTGTGAAGAATAAAGTACGGCTTGAGACCGCAGATGGAGGGGACGGAGACACGGACCAGGACCCTATCGATGTGATCGCAGGGGTAGATGTGGGTCCTAGACTAGGCGCGTGTGCCCCTGGAATGGCTGAATCCGAGGCTCTCAACCACAACGGTTTTGGGGCGTCTGGTGTCTCCACTCCCCTTCCCCTCAGTCAGACCCAGTCTAACGGAGCGCCGTGGTCGATGAACACCCCTAAAGTGTCTGCAGAAGCAGCAGGTGCTGGTGCAGCCAAGTCTCACAAGCAGGGCGGGAACATTTTCAACAGACTTAAACCGCTTGTGGCGCAGGGATCTGGGGATCCAGTGGGCCGGGCCAGAAAGATGCAGCTTCTACAGCAGCAGCACCAGCAGCAGCAGGATACAGGCCAAGAGAGGGCAGATGGGGTCAAAGCGTCATTACCTTCATCTTCTTCTCTGTCAGCTGGGTCGTCTCCTCTGGCTGCAGGTGGGCCTGTCGGACTAGCCTCGCCTTTCTTTCCACCCTCCAAGCCTCTGCTTCCCACTCCGCCTTCTGCCCTCTCATCACACCCTCTGCACTCATCTCAGCCTTTTAACGGTGCTCCCAAAGGTGGCCCTGCTGGATTTCAGCACCAGCAGATGGAGGAGGATGATTCTGACCCTGATTTGGGGAGTCCACTGGTGATCCAAGAGAGCCCAGACTCCCCGACTTGCACTCAGCTGAGCCGGCGTTACAAGTCTGACTCTGTCTCAACCCAGCCCGCGTCCTCTACTGCATCTCAACCTAAACCGGGGGATACTCCTTCAGGGGCGTCACTGACTTCATCAACGCCTCAGTCTGGCTCAACAGAGAGTCCCCAGCGAGATGACAGGCATCCAGAACACGTCATAGAGGAGAGAGACTCACCAGAGAGTCCTGAACCAGAGATGCCAAAGTCAACTGCTCAAGTCGCAGCTAAAAGGTGCTCCAGCCCTGCGGTGGCCTCCACTCCACCTCCTTCTGAACTTCGGGAGCCTAAAGAGGAGGAGGAAGAGATGGAAGTGGGGAATGGGATTGAGAGGGTCGCTGATGGCAAAGCTGACAAGGGAGAAAATGCAAGAACAAGTGAGGAGAAGATGGAGGTAGATGATGGCAAGTCTAAACCCCTGTCCACTGACGGAGGAGAAGCCGCCGTTGCCGCACCGGCTGCTTCTGGAGCTCCAGCCCGACCCCTCAAAGTCAGAATAAAAACAATTAAAACCTCCACAGGTGGAATCACAAGAACTGTCACAAGAGTAGCGCCTAAAGGTGGCGCTGCAGGGAAAGGTTTGGACCCTAAAGGTCAAACAGGGGAACGTAAGGTGCTCGCAAATAAGGCTCAAAAACTTGAAGCTTCCCCTGGTCACATGACAACAACTTCCCAGAAAGTAAGTGCTCTCAATGCTCTGCCTGTGTCTACACTCGCAGCCAGCAGCGTCATGCTAGCTGCAGCCACGAAGGTCCAAAACAAAATGGCAGCGTCTGACAAGGCCAAGGTTTCCGCCACTGCCGTAAGCATCACTAAATCTGCTGCCCTGCCTGTAACCCCTGCTGTGGCTTCATCTCCCAAGTTCTCAGTTGCTGCTGGTGGGATCAGCGTTCGCACAGCCACTAATAAGACCGCTAACGGAGGTAGCGGCACCATCATAGGCGGTACCCTCCAGCCAAACAAACCTGCCTCCATCGTCAACAGTACAGGTGCCGTCATCTCCCGCAGTCAGTCAAGCCTGGTGGAGGCTTTTAACAAAATCCTGAACAGTAAGAACCTTTTGCCGAGCTACAAGCCCGACCTCTCAGCACCTCCGCCGCCTGAGTGGGGTCTCCCGCTCCCCGCCACAGGGTACCGCTGCCTGGAGTGCGGAGACGCTTTCGCCCTGGAGCGCAGCCTGGCTCGACACTACGACAGACGATCACTGCGCATCGAGGTCACCTGCAACCACTGTGCTAAGAGGTTGGCCTTCTTCAATAAGTGCAGCCTGCTGCTGCATGCCAGGGAGCATAAGGAGCGCGGGCTGGTCATGCAGTGCTCACACCTGGTCATGAGGCCTGTCACTGTGGAGCAGATGATTGGACAGCAGGACATAACGCCCATAGGTGGTGAGTAGGGCCGCGGCTAACGATTCTTCGTAATTATCGGTTAATCAGTTGTTAATGTTTACGACTAATGGATTCATCATTCAGACAATAAAATAGTGTCTAAAACCCAAAGACGTGTTCACTTCATCATAAAGGACTAAAAAATATAAAAAAAATTGAGGAGCTGGAATCAGACCGTTTTTTGGATTTATCAAAATTATTGCTATTACTTGACTAATTGTTTCAGCTCTACATCATACATTTGTATATCTGCGGGGATAGTCATGAAACAACCACAAAAATATGTTAGTATGTCATGAAAAAAACAACACACATCATTCATTTGTGATTCATCTCCATTGACCACGTCCCATTTATCTCTTCTGATTTCCACCTGTGGCTGACCAGGCCTGCTCTCCTCTTCGTCCTCCTCTCCTCCAGTCTCCTCTCCTTCTACCACGACAGGAGGCTCCGCTGTCTCTGCCAACTCCAGCCCGATGAAGGATGCTTCAGCGCCAGCAGCAACTCAGCCTCGACCGGTCCGCCGCGCTCCTCAGGGCCCCCAAGCGTTGATGCCTTTGCCTTGCAAGAAAGCCGAGGGGCTGCAGTACAACAACTTCAAATGTCCAGAGTGCCAAACACAATTCTCCAGCAAGACTGAGCTGGTCACCCACTTCCAGCAGATCAGAGCTGCTCCCAACTCAGTGAGTCTTTGTTTCTTGCTGCTGATACCTGCTGTACAAAAAAAAAAAAATGCTGGTGGTCACTGATTGTTTGGTTTGATTTTCCTTCTGTTTCAGACATGTACGCAATGCTCGCCTCCCATGATGCTGCCTAACTCGTGTGCCGTGTCCGCCCACCAGAGGATTCATAAACACAGAGCGCCCCACGTCTGTCCCGAGTGTGGTGGGATTGCCCGGCAGGCCAGCTTCCAGACCCACCTGGAGGAGGCCTGTCTGCACTTTGCCAGGCGCATTGGATACAGGTAGGGATGGGAATAAAGAACCGAGGACCCAAAATGTCGGATCCATCAAAATCGTATGCCTCAGAGCTTACCAGGTCTTCTTATCAGTGCCGACAGTCGTGCATTGCAAAATAATGATGTCAAACTCATGCGTCTAAGCTGCTGGAAACTTCCAACAAGGAGGGGTCAGGGTCTAAAGCGTGGCTTTATTTCACAAAGAAAGATGTTTGTGCTTGTTGTAATGTGCAACTAATGGTGGAAACACCAGCAATATGCTGAAACATCTTTTTAACATCAACATAAATTTAACATCACTGATTTTGCAGCTTGTCAATAACTTTTATACACTACTGATGTGGTTTGAGATGTAGTTTGTGGTGGATATATACATGTCCAAAAACAGATGTTCCTCTCACTGAATATCGACTCAAACTCAGTTCTATAAGAATGTGTTTTTATATTAGAGCCATAACACATCATACTGTGCGTATCTTTTTATCTTGTTAAGGTGTTCAAGCTGCCAGGTTGTATTCGGAGGGTTAAACTCCATCAAGTCCCACATTCAGACTGCTCACTGCGAGGTCTTCCACAAGTGCCCCAGCTGCCCCATGGCCTTCAAGTCTTCCCCCAGCGCCCAGAGTCACATCAGCACTCAGCACCCAACGCTCACTGGAGGACAGGCCAAGTATGTGTGCTGCTTCTACCTGAACGAATGTGGCACATTTTCAACGCGCATGTAAAGAAATTTTGAAAATACATCCCTAAAAGATGAACGTATTTTTCTTTTTTTGCAGAATGATCTACAAATGTGTGATGTGTGACACGGTTTTTACCCAAAAACCCTTGCTGTACATGCACTTTGACACTCATTTAGCCAAGCAAAAAGTGCATGTATTCAAGTGTCCTGACTGCACCAAGCTCTACGCCCAGAAAGGATCGATGATGGAGCATATCAAGGTGTGTTTTCTGATAAGTAAATATTCAGAGATCATAGATTTTAGATGTGACGTGGAATTAGCCTTTTGCCTTTATGTGTTGCCCATTCATTGCTTTCTACAGTGAATGTGGTGTCAACAAAGGCATACAACAATTTCTTGGATCGGCCTTAGCAAGGTTCCTCTCTGGTGACCTTGTCCTAAGTTCTATACCAAGTACAGTTTATTTTACAGAAATGAGTGAGATTATTTTTTGTGTGCCAGTTGGAGTAATTGGTATTGATTGCTCTGTATGCATTTCTATTTTTTCATGCGCTACTGTCGTCCCTCTCAGACTGCTCACAGAGGTCCATCAGCCAAACAGACAGAGTCTCAGTCCGATGCCTCTAACCCCGCCTCAGCCCCGACCAACACATCCGGTCCCTCCGGCCTCAAATCCAAATCCTCCGGAAAACCCGACAACTCCGACGGAGAGGACTGGGGGCGGGAACAAGAAGAAGAAGAAGAGGAGGAAGACGACGATGACGACGATGCGGACGAGGACTACGAGGCTCCGGGGAGTCACTCGACCTCCGCGGGGGGCAGCAGCCAACCTGCTGCCCAGACTGAGTGGACCTGCCCCCAGTGTCAGACCACCTTCACTGACAACGAAGACTATCTGGGTCACGTGAAGATGGAGCACGGCAAGGTGTGATACTACCTCTTACTTATTTGAATCTGAGTCTATTGAATCCGGTGAAACTCGGTGAAAACTGAATAGTTTTATTGAACAGATAAACTCAATATTTTATATAAGCAATAACTAATAGAAATTCAACAGAACGATAAAAGACAAAAAGAGTGAAGGAATAAGTCTTGACTGAAGATTCTGAAAGTATTTCAGGAAAGGTCCCCACATCTTTTAGAACTTGTTTGAATTACAAACAGAGTAGCGGATCCTTTCGAGGTCTAGACAGGACATAATGTCCCTTAGCCACAGAGTGTGGGTGGGCGGCAGGGGCAGCACCTCCCTCCTGGCCAACAGAGAAGCAGCATTTGATTGGATTCACACGTACGTCATCCTCTCCAGTGGTGCCAAAAAGCGCTACCAGGGAGGGTTGGGTTCTAGGTAAAGATTTAGGATTAGGGATAATGTTTGGTTAAATACGACATAGTTTGGCTTTGGACGCATGCGCCTTGTGCACAACCTTACATTGCAACAGCCATTAACCAGCTTGAACACTGAATCCCACACAGTTCAACATCTGCTCCCAGACAGATATCTGCCGGCTTGTTATAGATTGTGGATATTAAACCTTTGCGTCACAGTTGTACACGTAGAGAGGCCTCAGCTGTGTCTGTATCAGGCTCCACAGGGAAATTCGGTATCTGAGAGTGGAGGAAGTGTCTGGTTTGCTGAAAAATAGTTACTAGGTAGGTTAAACTTTTCAGAAAGTTGTTTAAATGACGCACAAGTGTTAATAATAGAAAGGTCCTTAAAGCTCTTAATACCCCGTCTGTGCCATTCTAGCAAATGAAGGTTGGAAGAGATGGTTGGATAGAAAAGGACTTGAGAAAGACAAATCATGGAAACCAAAATATTTTCTGAACTG